GCGTAGATGATGTAAACAAAGAAAAAAAAACAAAAATACTTATCGTTCGGAAACCCGTGATCACCCTCTGTATATCTATAATTGAATTGGATTCAGATATGAAAACAAATAATCAGCAAAAAACTGGTGGAAATAACAAAAAATGCAGCAAAAACTCCAAAAAAACTTGATTTAAATAAAATAGCCAATTAATTAGTTTTAATTTCAAATGCTAAGCCACCAGGACGAAGTTGGATATGAGGATACTTCGATCAATATGAACTAACTGAATAATATAAAAGAATTGTAAGATGTTTAGTTCAAGTTTAATGGAAAAATAGTGTTGAATCATGTGAACACTTTATGGGATCTGATAGTTTTACTGGTAATTTTATTTTTCATCTTGCTACACATCAAATTACTGAAGAAAGTCATAATAGAAAAATAAATGATATTCAAAATAAGAGTCAGTTATCACAACTTCGTATAGATAAAATGATACGAAACAATTCAAATATTAAGAATCGTCGAGATTGAAAGTTTGTTGAAATTTTAATTAAAGATAATCAACTAATTAGTTTAGGTAATGATGAAGAATTTATTGAGTTTGTGCATGAATTAGATCCAAATTATCAATTTCTAAGTGATAAAACTATACTACAACTATTAGCTGAATCATATAATCAAATCAAAAATGTATTAATAAAAAAATTTAGTGTAAATATTATTTCGTATTCTATAACAGCAGATTTGTGAACAGCTAGAAGTAGAAGTGGATACATTGGTGTTACATGTTCATTTATCAATAATGATTTCAATTTATGTAAAGCAATATTAGCAGTTCAATATGTATCTTATCCTCATACTAGAGATAATATTTGTAAAGTTTTACGTGAAATTATTTCTAATTGGGGTTATCTAGTAGGTTTTTACAATAACCATAGACAATAGATCAAATATGATTCGAGCTGGAAGATTAATGAATGAACTTATACGACTTTCCTGCACTGCACATATCTTATAATTGGTAATAGGAAAAGGATTACTACCAGCTGAAGTTCTAATTGCAAGAGCTAAACGATTAATAAACTTCTTTATGACACCTAAACAAACTGAACGATTACAAGAAATTCAAGAAAGTTCTTATGTTGTTAATAATGAGATAATTTAATATTTAATGTAATGATATATTTTAAATTAATATAATATATTTTAATTTAATGTAGTATATTTTAAATTA